AATAAACACTACACTCAAAATATGGAAATCTTATATAGGGTAGAGCCCTGAATTCTACAGAATTCTGTTCTTCAATGAAGACAATTTTACTGCTAATAAGATCTTCATAAAGGAAAGATATGGGCCAGGTGGTGGTGATAGTGCATTTTAGCAGAAGCAGAAGGATCTCTTGAGTTCAAGGCCAGCCTTTCCTACAGAATGAGTACCATGACAGCCAGGGCTACACAGAGAAACTGTCTCCAAAAACAGGAAGGAGCATCAAACCTAAAGTAACTATTCGACATGTTTTATCTTTGTTATAAAATTAATATTGACTGGTCATGGGCACATCTACAATTCCAGCATTTAGAGGATAGGGAAGGAAGGTTGCCAGAAGTTTGAGGCCAGCCAGAGCTAAATAGTGAGTTCCAGACCATCCAGGGTTACATAATGAGGCCATTTCTACAAAAGTTTTTAAAAACATTAAAATGTAACAAACCTTTTAAGAACTTTCAGTCTGGTGGTGGTGGCACATATGGCGCATGTCTTTAATCCCAGCACTCCGGAGGCAGAGGCAGGAGGATCTCTGAGTTCAAGTCCAGCCTGGTCTACAGAGCTAATTCTAGGACAGGCTCCAAAACCACAGAGAAACCCTGTCTCGAAAAGCAAACAAACAAAAAGAATTTTAGACTGGCAAATACAGAAAAATAGAAACATACACCCATGTTTCAACCACCCAAAGAACACTACCATTATTATTTTAAGAAAATGTACAATAAACGACAGAAGGCACAAATCTAATATTTTTTGTTAATGTTTTAGAATAGGTTAATGAAAGCCATCAAAATTTTGGAATCCAGAAGTAAAGAACTAGATGTAGTTGTTGTTTTCAAATAGGGCCTCATGTAGTCTCGGCCATTTACAAACTGTCTAAGAAGCCCAGCCAGGAAGCCTTAAGCTAACCTTCCTGTGTCTACCTCCTGAACATCCCAGTAAGAACTGGGTTCTCCACAACTTTCAAATCTGAGGCATATTAACTGACACAATTTTCCACAGGTTTAACATGAAGTCATACTGTTATATTGTTTTCAAGTGAGACATTTTTAAATTACTGCATCATGTCAAACAGATGATTCAAAATATGAGTATTTTAGAATCTCAAGTGCACACATTAATCCCTCAGGAAGCAGAGGCAGGTGGAGCTCTGTGAGTTCAAGACCAACCTGGTCTACATAGCAAGTTCCAAGCCATCCAGGACTACATAATAGAAGGGCCTTGTCCCAAAAAATATATGACAATAATTATATACAACACTATGCAGTTCAGAGATGTAAAATCATAATTTAGACAGTTAGCCCAAAAATGTTACTAACTTGAGGACTTGAATTTGCTGTTTAAAATAAATCTCCTCTTTGATTTTTAAAGCAAAAATGGAATAATTTATGTATTATACTAAAAAGGAATCATCAACTCTTCTCAAGTGCTGGCTTTTCTGGCTCACAGGAGTAAGGAACTTGTACTAAAAATACAAGATCATCCATGGCATTAATCTCCAAAAGGCTTTATCCACTATATTATAAATATCTGTCCTTGAGATCATCAGACTATTTGACACTCAAACACAGATGACTTAAACTGCAGAGAAAATCAAATCAAAAGGCACCTACTGCTTTATTTCACAAGAAAACAGAGCTGAAGTCTTAATTACAGTGACTGTCCTTGTCTCCATTTTTTTAAAAGTGAAGGGAGATGTTCTGTACACTTTCCAGAAGGAGCGTGTTCAAGCTTGTTTTTATAATCTTGGCCTCTGTAATTGTATGTAGCAGCTGAATCAGCCCATTATGTAGATCACTAATGCTAATGCATAGCTGTGATTATATTATTGATCAAAACCCTAAAAGCATATGAAAACTGGGAACTTGGAGTACCCATCCACCTTGGTTTTTATAGACAAAAAAGTTCATAAAGTAGCCTTGTCTATACATTTTAATGGACTCATATTTCGCCTGATTTCTTTTATTCATTATGCTGTCATTTCATTAGTGATAGCAAAACATAAACAGAGTAGCTATTAAAAGCAGAGAAACAAAAAAATAAATAAGCAGAGAATCGCGGCATGTCACTGTAGCTATGACATAATGGCTTAACAAGGAGAAAGCTGGCTTTTAGGTTAGACAGCATTTTTTTTTCTTTCTGGAGGGGGTTAGGGAAAAGAAGGGGCTGTCACCTGCCATTTCCTCACTTAGAAGATGTATTTCATCCTTGAATTTGGTGAGTTTTATGGCTGATTACTGGTCTTAACAATGACTTTTGAAATGTTTGCTCTTCCTCTGCCTCACAGCTTAAATCCCAGGTACATGTTATCATATCTGGACACATGCTCTACTGAAACACTGCCAGGCCCCTTTGAGATGGGATCTAACATGAATATGATACAGTAGTTTCTACATAAAAAAAAAAAGAGGTCCAATTAAAGCACAGACCTGGGTTTTTCCCCTTTAATAGAATTTTACAAAGTCCTAGGAGGCAAAATATCTCTTTTAGCAAGATTTCCACCCTCATCTAAAGGTTCAACTGAGCTGGATTGTATTATTGCATATATTGCATTATAATCCCAACATTCAGAAGGGTCTGGATCAAGGGCATTACACATTTGTGACCAGCCCTATGCTCATTTTCACCTCCACTCAAGGCTTCTTTTTAATAATAATAATAAATAATGATAAAAGCACTTAACAAAGGGCTAGAGAGATGTATGATCAGTTAAAGGTGTTTGCTGTGCCTGGCAGTGGTGGCACATGCCATTAATCCCTTGGGAGGCAGAGGCAAGGGAATCTCTGAGTTCAAGGCCAGCCTAGTCTACAGACAGAGCCAGTGCCAAGCCTGCCAGGGTTATACAGAGACACAAAGGAAGAAACCCTGTCTCAGAAAAGAAATGATGCTTGCTGGTCTTGCCTAGGACCAGAGATCCCAGCACTCATGTTGGAAGCTCACAATGGCCTGTGACTCCAGCTCCAGGGATTCTGTCCTCCTAAGGACACTGATCTACACAAACACAGACACAGGTATGAACATAAATTAAGTAAATAAATAATATACCTTAAAAAAAATCCCAGGATGATAAAAGATGCAATGGAAAATTCGAGCTCTCCCAACTTAACTTGCTTTTATTTGATTTTTTTTTTTTTTTAATTACATGCTGCTGCCAGTGGTGGTCTTTAATCCCAGCACTGGGGAAGCAGAGGCAGGTGGATCTCTGTGAGTTAGATGGATCTCTGTGACTTAGAGGCCAGCCTTGTCTAGGAAGTGGGTTCCATGATAGCCAAGACTACCCAGAGAAACACTATCTCAAAAAACCAAAAGTTATATGTTGTTAGTCAGGCTTGACCCACATATGTAAACTGAGCACTAGAGGTAGGCAGATCTCTGTGAGTTCAAGGTCAGCAGCCAGGGCTGCACTGTCTTAAAAAAAAACAAAACAAAACAAACAACCCCCCCCAAAAAAAACTAGAATGTAAAGGTAACAAGTTTTTTGTCAAAATGATGACACACAGCTAATTAATTATATTAGACCATGTTTGTAAAGGATTTATTTACATTTATTTAACCTTTGCAACATCTCTATGAATAATTTTACAGAAGATGACAAATAACTTAGGCAGAAAGATTATGATCAACGGGCCAAGTAAATACCAGAAACTGAAAGCTACTAGTTAATTTTCCAAGGGTGTTTAGGGTTAGCTTCTTGTAAACATTTCCTTTTTTAATGTTTCTTAAAAAAAACAAAAACAAAAACAAAAAAGCAAAAAAAAAAATCCCAAGTTTGGCATTAGAAGTCTCATATTAATTTCTACTGTTAACTCAAAAGTGACTTACAGAAATAACAAAAAGATTTTCTTTTTGAAAGAACTTCCTCTGCGGGGGGGCGGGAGGGGGCGGCGAGTCCCAGTAGGAGGGAGGGAACACTTAAAGTGAACGAAACTTCCAGACAGTGATTTCTAATTGAACTCATATAAATTCTATGCCGGCATTTTGAGACACAAAGCTAATCAGCAAGCAATTCACGATTAATACGAGTGATAGTACATCATGCCTGTAAACCCCATCCTTTGGAAGTTGAGGCAGGCACTTCAAAGCGAACATAGCCTGGGCTTCAAGTGTGCCCATCCATCCCCTCGATTCAAACAATTTTCCTTTTCTATTTATTTATTGAGGGGGATTTACTTTGGGCACTTACTGATTCAAACATTTGAAATTAAGAAACAGTAGCCAATTTACTATCAAAACAAACACAACGAAAGGGAAAACTCCCACCTTGTTATAGAGGAGTATCCTATAAATTCTGAATTAGCTAGCTGGCTTAATCCACCCATGCATTTGGAGTTCTGGAAAACCGGGGGACAAAATCAAAGCAATCCCACGGTTTCTAAATCACCCTCAGGAAATGGAAAGCCGGTGGGTGGGAAGATTGCCTCCTAGTTTACGGTACATAAAGTTCCTGAATCAAACCTATGTATGAACCAACGGCTGAAGTTCTAGCCTGTGAACAGCAAACTATAGTTTAATACCTGGACCAGGAGGTGTCATTAAAAAAGCGCGTTGGCCTTTGCGGGCCAGACCTCCGTGCCTCTCACTGCCCATCAAGCGCCGCTCGCTGCGAACGCCACATCCGACCTGCAGGGTTGCGCCTCTAAGCGGAAGACCAGGGTCGCACACCCTCGGCCCTGGGGACCGGGAGGGACAGATCGGTGCGCGGGAGAGGAGCCGGAGGGGCGGGGCGGGGCGGAGCGGGGCAGGGCGGCGGCGGACGCTGCCCCCTAGGGGCTCCGAGTCGCGTCTGGGGGCGGCGGGAGGGGCGGAGGCCGGAGGCGGAGCTGGGCAGCCGCGCCGTCGGACGGGGCGGTCCTCAGCTGGCCGGGCCCCGGCGGGCGGGCCGAACGCTGAGCCCGAGCGGTGGCGGAGAACGGCGGCGGCGGCGCGGGCACGACGGGGTGCCGGATCCTCGCGGTGAGCCTCGGGCTCGGGCTCGGGCCTGGCGACAGCGGCGACACCGCGGAGCCCCGAGCGAGATGGCCGAGTCCCCGCCGCCCGGCGCGGCTGCCCAAAGTTGCGGCGAGGACCCGGAGAGGGGCGGGGAGCGGAGACCCCAGGAGCCGGAGGAGCCGCGCGGTGCTGCCGCCCGCGGCACGGACCGGGAGGACGAGGAGGGGCCCGAGGAGCCGGACTCGCCGGTGGCCGCCCCCTTCTTCCTGCTGTACCCGGGCGATGGAGGCGCGGGCTTCGCAGCGCGTCCGCCGCCGCAGCGCGCCTGGAGGACCCCGCCGTCGCCCGGCTCCCCGCTGCCCTTCCTGCTGCTGAGCTACCCGAGCGGCGGCAGCGGCGGCAAGCACCGTGAGTATCGGGGATCGGGACGGGGACCGGCTCGCCAGAGCCCCGCCTCTCGCCAGGCTCAGAAGCCGCGCGGGCCGGGGGTGGGGTCTGCTCGCGGGGGCGGGGGCGGCGACCGTGCCCCTCGGTGGCCGTGCTCCTCCGTGGGATCCGCTTCTCGGTCCGCCCAGGCCGCGGCCCCGCCGGCTCGCTCGCCTGCTCCCCCTTGGCCTCCACGTGCTGGGGATCGAGGCGTCCCCTGGCGCCGGCCGGCGGCGCCGCGCACTGGCGCCCTTCCCGGAGGAACCGCGGAGCTGGCGTCCGGGACCGGCTGACGCGCCCCCACCGGTTCCCAGCCGCGGTGGCCAAGTAGGTGTGGCTGCCGCGCCGCCGCCCTGCGGCTTCAGCTCGGCGGACGAGGGAAATTTCTAGGAGCCAACCTCAAACCCATAAGCGAGAGTCATCACCCCGACCCCCAGCAAGTGAGAAAAGAAATGGTCTCGGGGTGCACGCGAGGAAGGGGAGGGAAAGTGTGGCTTGGGAAGGGCACCTCCCAGTGTTGTGTCTTTTGTCAGGAAGATGCTTCCACGCCTTATAGCAATGGCCACACTCTAGCCCCCTAAATGCGGTGAACCTCCCAATCGATGCTGTTTCAGGCAATAAATGTTTGTTGCTGCTGGCCATGAGCCGGTCCATAAGAATCCATGTGAGGACTGGAGTGTCGAGATGGTTTATAAGGAGAGAAGACCTTTCGAGAAGAAAATATCGTTGACAACTCAAAGGACACTGTAAATGCCAAATACCTTGCTCTAGGTAGGAGTTCTGAAAAGGGAGGGAAAGTTGCCTAGGGTAAGCGAGGTTCCCCTCCCTCGGGTCTTTTTAAAGCTCTCCAGTGCAGATCTTGATTTGACAGTTCTCTGCAGCCAAGAGACTGACTTGGCTTTTTCTCCCTCCCTATCCGACCCTGTGGAAAAGATAAGCATTTGTTGAATGTCTCCTATGTACAAGTACCACAATCGTCATGGCCTATCAAATCTCTGTGAGCTTGGAGTGCCCCCTTTTCATATGAGGAAGCTGAAGATCAGACTAAATGACATTATGTGTCCTCAGTAAACCTAAGAGGAGTGAGCATGACCCAGATTCCTTTTCTTCTATGATGGTGCTCTTTAATCAAATATCAGAGGTCCAGAGCTGGGATGGTGTATGTTAGACTAACAGGGATTCCGCTAGAACAAGTGTTAACCTATTTGCTTGCCTAAAACGTGACTCTAGACTGACTCGAGTCTTAGAAAAACAGCATTTTGTTTGAGGTGTGCATTCTGATCTTCAGCTAGGAAGAGTTCAGATAGGAGTTGAGTCCTTTTGTATGGCAGATGAGGTAAAGATAAGAACATTCTCCATGCTGAGTACTCTGCATTTTCAAAGGAATAGGCTTGCTTTGTACAGCTGTTATGTTCCTTGTGTGTACTCGGCTTGTTATAATCGCATCACTGTAGAATGAAGGCGCTGTTGTCAGCATTTCTGTGCAACAACTGTACTTGGTTTGACATGGATTTTTTTTTTTTTAACCTGTTGGCTAGTGACAATTGTAGGGATTATTCAAATTCCAGTTGATTTGTTTGACTTTTTTCTGCTTAGTAAAGATTGAGTTTTTTGTTAGTTTGTTTTTGTTTTAGGGTTTCTCTGTGTAGCAGCCCTGGCTAGTTTCCTAGAACTAGCTCTGTAGACCAGGCTGGCCTTGAACTCCCAGAGATCCACCTACCTCTACCTCCCAAGTGCTGGAATTAAAGGAATGCACCACCATCGCCACATGGCAAGATTGACTTTAATTATTATTAGAAGATAGGAGCTAAGTATGATCGTGATGGGAATTTAAGTTCCTGTGGTTGAATATTGCACACACCAGGCAAGTACTCTGCCACTAAGGTCATGAGTGATGTTTCAGAGTGACCATACAGTAATAGCAGGTATTGGAGTGATTTATTAGCACATAAACACCATAGAATTAACTTTTTTCTGAAATAGTTCAAGGTATAAAAGCTCAGAATAACGATCCTCCTATGCTTCAAAAACTAGTTATTGACAATGCATTCTAGCAAAAACATCCCAGACAGTTTCACTGTGTAGCTCTAGCTGCCCTGGAACTCTTTATGTAGACCAGGCTAGCCTCAAGCTCATAGAGATCCACCTGCTTTTGCTTCCCAAGTGCTGGGATTGAAAGTGCATCACTGTGCCCTGCTGTATACTCTTGAAAAGACTTGTCTTTAATTACATCTATGTGTGTATAAGTGATTGCCAATGCCCACAGGCATTGGATCTCACTGGAGAGCCAAACTCAAGCCTTCTGGAACTTGAGTACACTCTTAACACTCAACCATCTCTCTAGCCTAGTGCTGAATACTTTATCCAAATTTCAAATTAAAGTACTTCTTTTGAGTTTTGTTTTTACATCCATTGGTACTTTAGGACCCATGCAAATGTCAAAAGAATAAAAGGCCGTCATTCTTACTACCAGGTCAGCACATGAACCCAAACTCAACACCGAGTAACTATACAGTAGCTGAGTTCTATTTAGAACCCTTTCTACTTCCCAACCCCTGACTTTTGAGAGATACAGTTTTGATAGACAGTCCTGACTAGCCTTGAACTTGAAGTTATCTTCTGGCCTTAGCCTTTGAGATGCTAGGATTTATAAGTGTGTGCCACCACACCCTCAAAACCCAATTTTAACTTTCTGATTCATGTACCAAATGTATGTAAAGTATGTTAGCCTTAATCCTGTGTTAAAATGCTATCTTTTTATTTTAGAAATTGTGGCTGTGTCTTAAGCCTATTTTCTTGAGGCAGACTCTCATTCAGCCAGGGGTGACCTCAGCTTTGTTGAGTGACCAGGAATGGTGTTGACCTCCTGATCCGCAGTGGGAGTACAGGTGTTTCCTATCACCTGTGTTATGCTCTCATTCTTAAACTTTTATACTCTTTACCATATTTTTGAAAATTAACTGTGTAATAATTACAAATAGCACATAGATCTGTTGCCTTTGCTTAGATGTTTTATGGCTCAAGTGTTAAACATGCAGAGTACCTTTCTGTTTTATGGCTCCAGTACCACCACCCCCCCATCATGTTGAATGTCAAATGATAGCACACTTTTGAACTAGATGAACTTCTGAGACTTTTTTATAATTCATGTGCGTCTATGTTCTTATTTTATGGTTTCTTTCCCCTGTTGGTATGTGCGACGTGTGGTTTCTGATCAGCTGTTTTGCAATTAACTTTTCATGCCTGCTTTTTTCTGTTCAGCATTACAAGTCTTGTGAGTAGACAGCACAAAGTTGTAAACTTACTTAAACCATGACATGGAGGGGGCACAATGAGTTTTAATTATCAGCCTCACACGATCTAAAATTACCTGGGAAAGGCATCTCAGTGGAGGATTATGTAGATGAGGTTGGTGTGTGGGCATGGATTTGAGGTATTATCTTTATTACATTAGAGAAGCATAAAAGACCTTCTCATTGTGGGGATCACCATTCCCCGGGCAGGGGATCTTGGACTGTTTAAGTATCTCGAGGGTACTGAACAGAAATAACTCTTGTCTGTAGATGTGACTAACTGCTTCAAATTCCTGCTTTGATTTTCCCACAGTAATAGACCCGCCACCTGGAATCCTAAGCCAAATAAGCTTTTTCTCCCTGGAAGTTGCTTTCATTGTGGTATATTACCAAAGCAAGACAATGTGTTTTTGCTGCCTGGGGGACCAGTCACCAGCAGCCTTTGTAGTTGTGTGTGAGTGGGCATACTTGTAGAGATCAGAGGACAATTTCAGGGTATTGGTTCTTTCCTTCCATTGTGGGTTACAAGGACTAAACTCAGATCATCAGGCTTGCATAGTAAATGTTTTTGCCTTCTGGGACATCTTGCTGTTCTAGTTGTTGTTGTTTTAAACTTGGTCACACAGTTCTTCAGCAAAAACTTTGTAGATGGCAAGGTTGTGTAGCCATGTCAGAAGGCTGACACCCCCCCCCTACACACACACACACACACACACACACACACACAACCTCTATTTTGTAGCAATTCTTTTTTTTTTTTTTTTTTTTTTTTTTTCCTCAAATTCAGAGATCTACCTGCCTCTTCCTGTGCTGGGATTAAAGGTGTGTGCAGTCACCCTACCAGTAATTGTTCCCTTCATCCACCTCCCAGAGCTATAGCCAATATTTATGTTTAAAATTATTCCAAAAAGAGCCCATATCTCTTGTCATTTTTCTTCCCATCACAGCAGCATACAAAATATGTCTGGGCTGGGTGGTGGTGGTGGCACACACCTTTAATCCTAGCACTCGGTAGGCAGGGGCCAGCCTGGTCTACAGAGCAAGTTCCAGTACAGTCTCCAAAGCTACAGAGAAACCAAAAAAAAAAAAAAAAAAAAAGACTATGTCTCAGTCACTTTAAGAAGCCACTTTTATCCTGTATTTGTTGTATGCCTGTTTTGAGGTTGAGAAAGAGCTGGAAGAGAAATAAAAGGGGGGGGAGGGTCTCAAAAAAGATGGTGTCACTATGACCATCCATTTCAAAGGATGTCCAACAGTGAGGGCCGTGGTTGACTATGATGGCTCTGATGATGAGGCATGGAGTTGAACTTGGTTCTTATGTGTACACTTGTAGATCTATAATGTGTGCAAGGAACTTATAAATTTACAAATATGCTTGTGTGTGGGGGTATCCTACCTGCGTGTATGACTGTACCATGTGCGTGTGTGGTGTCTAAAGAGTCCAGAAAAGAACATCTGGTACTGGAGTTACAGATGGTTGTGAGCAGTCGTGTGGGTGCTGAGAATCAAGCCTAACCCTAACCCTAACCCTTGCAAGAGCATCCAGTGCTCTGAACTGGTGAGCCATCTCCCCAGCCCCGTTTCTTGTTTTGTCATCACTTTTTTCTTTTTTCTTTTTTTTAGCTGCTCAGAGTCATTTAAAAATATGCCTGATTAGGAGTTGAGTACGTATTAGCTATAATTCCAATC